GTGTGTGTGTGTGTGTGTGTGTGTGTGTGTTTGTAGGCAGGGGAATAATCTGAGAAACTGGGCTTAACTTTTAACTTGAAGCACATTGTGGGTGTGTCTGTTCATGTCAGGGGTCTGCAACCTTCACAATCAAGAGCCATTTGCCCCTTGGTTCACTAATAAAATGTGTCCGGAGTCACTAAAACGTGCTATAACTTTGAGGGTGGGGGGTGTCCAACCAGTGGGGGTGACATTATAAAACTAAAAATAAAATTAAATCCATTTTAAAATCTAATATACTGTAATTTTTACATTTCAGGACAAAAGAAAGATAATTTTGCAAGTAAAACTTACTAAAAACTAGGACCCTGTATGTTTTTCTTATATTTATTGTTATGTTATCAACTCACTATTCTTCTCAGCAACTTGTCTTAAAGATTCAAAAAAAAAAAAAAACTCCTGATGGATTCGAGAGAAATATTGTTCTAAGTAAGTAAAGTTTTATTTATATAGCGCCTTTCACAGAAATAAATTCATATGGTGCTGTACATTCAGGGAAGGGGGAAGGGGGCAGTTAAGAACGGTCATGCAGCAAAACACAACAACAAAACAACAGAAAAACTAAAAAACACACAAGGGAAAGATGAGGAAAAAAGCAAAAACATTGTATTATATCAACACTGTGACACACTATGTGTTTATGAAAAAACTCTGCATAGGGCAGATTTATTAGCCAGAGGAGTAAGTGAGATTAGGGGATTAGAATCCAGTCCCCAAAACCAACGCAGCCATAGTTCAGAATAWTGATGGTAACTGTTCATTTTGTGTGGCCCTCAGCCCGCTCAGGAAACCAGATTAGACGGGTGAGACAGGTGGGGGGAAGGTGTGGAGCAGAGCCTTATCGACGTAATCCAGCCAAGAAGAATTTAGTCAACAGATCAAGGCCGTTGTAGGGGAGAGCCAGATTCTGTAATCAGTTGTTTTGGGAACAAAAGAGACAGGCAGACAATAACGATTTTCCATCTGCTTGTGGCGAATCCAGTCAGGCAAATAGTGTGGACAAATTCCGCCGAGCCGATATACCAGCTTCTCCAAGATCAATTCCATCTGGCCAGCAAAGTCCAGGGACCACAGCTGGCCCGCGACCCTCAATAGAACCACTTGCAGACCGAGCCCAGCTCGCTCAAGGCAAAATGTCAGAGTGCTGATAGAATACGGCCATCCATCAAATTGGTCAGTCAGCCAGAAAGTGAAAAGCCACAGACGTTGTTTTGTAGAACATCAGGAGACCACCAACTCAATCTGTAGAATCCAGTGATCGGAGTCCAGACATATGTCCAGAACAGAGAAGAACAGAGGTCCCACCTTTTGACATGTCCTCCCATGGAAGAAGCAAAAACTTTGTTCCAAAAAWTTTATTGAGAGAGCAGCTAACCAAATCACTAAAAAGAAAAATCTCCATGATTTCTAGTTTCGGATGAAAAATGTAGAGAAGACTCCAAGCAGCAAAGCAGAGAAAGATAAGGAAGGGCAGGAGAGAAGGAAGAAGCGTCTTACTCCTCCGAGAGCATAAAAAAGGTAAGTAGCTAGCAAACTAGATGATCCAATCAAAATGTTTCACTTCTTTTTATTTGTATTATTGCTCACAGTTTAAATGAAAAAACCAAAAAATCAAAACAGGAAACAGCTAAATCTAGCATATTTGTTCAAATTCAGTCTCATGTGAGTTTTGGGCAAAGCTCCAAAGGGGGACCAAAGAGTTGCTTGTGGCCCCTGAGTATTTTGTAGAGCGGTTTCAGCTGCTGGATGAGACTGTGTGAAAGTACAGCCAACATTACAACTGAGCCAAACGAAACAAAACTTCCAAAGATTGTAAAAGAACTTGTGGGATGAGATTGGACAATTTTATGCCCACAGGAGCACAGATCACCGGATCYTCATGGCTGTGGTGGTCACCTCTGCTGACAAATTCTCTGTCAGGACTGTTTCAGTTAAACAGACAAACAAAGGTAGTATTTATATTTGGCTTATCATTTTTTAATTCAAAGACACATTAATCATTGATATGTGAAGCACTTTGCAGATTTAGTTTCCAACTTTATGAATTATTTACTTTATTACTTGTCTTCATGACTTTGCTTTAATTTTGTCAAACTGATTATCATTCAAATATATCAAAGAGCTACCTGAAACAGCTAATATAT